CTAAATCGACTGGCTGATCGAATCGATTAGGTTTATCACCAAGACCTAAAAATAAAAATTCAAATAATTTTCTTTTCTCTATAACCATGAATCAATTTGAAAGTCTATTTGGTATCTACGTCCATACCTGATCCGCCAGCAATAGTATCGCCCATAGATGCATTATATAACCAACGTTGAATTCGTTCATTGGATGAATCAGCCACATAAACAACATGGGTTTCTTCATCGACCCATACAGCAGTCGGTCTTGACAACGATTCAGCATCACTGCCTTCATTTCCATTGCTGAGTCCAGCTTCAGTAGTTCCATTAGACGCATTTACTAACCATTTTTGAATTCTATTATTGACATAATCAGCCACGTACACTGCACCATTGGTGCTATCAACATAAATACCTTCAGGAGAATTAAGATTGTCGCTTGTCGATCCCGAGTAGTATTCGCGGCCAGCGACAACCGTCGTGATATTTGTTTGAGGTGACCATTTAAACACACAATGTTTACCTGCCGATGACAGGTAGACATTTTTCTCTTTGTCAACCCATACACCTGTACAGTAGAAACATTCACCTCCTACTTGTACTCCCTGTGCGCCCTGTGATGTCCCTTGAACCCATTTTTTGACGCGATGCTCACTTTCAATGGCAAGGTAAATTGTCGGTCCATTGTTGTCGTCATCAACATAGATCTTCATAGCAAACGTAATATTAGATATCACGGTGGTACCCATGGTCGATAACTTATCGAGTGAGAACATTTGAATTCGTTCATTTCCCGTGTCAGCCACATACAATGTGTTCGTTTGTTTGTGAATAAAAATTCCTTCGGGTTGGTTGAGTTGTTCAGGCTTATTACCTCTTCCACCAGTACCAGCCACGATAATACCCATCGTGTTCCATCTTGCACAAGGGCTCACCTTTATCGACTTTGTCGACGGCAGCCAACATAAGAAGACAACTTGAACATAAGAAAATATTAATAAAACTCATTTACTCTGCTCATTGTTGAACTTACGAATGTAGATAACCGGAATCTGCATCAATGAAGACGAGCAATATGGCCGACAAGAAAGAGAGTGTTTCACAATACTCACAACACAATAAAAGAAGTTTGAAGCTGCGCGTGATTCTAAGAGATAAGATATATCTATGCGCATATGTTAGATGCAAAACAGGCATCTCATACACCTGTGTTCTAGCGGGTGACATAAAAGTAACATGTGCTTAACTATTTCTACTGGGTTTGGGTGTGGGTGTGAGTATGTATCTTCTAGGCATCTACACCCACACCCTCCTCTTTTCATGTATCTGTCTTACTCCAATTTAGCACGTAACTCAAAACACAAGAAAATGGCTCTAGTTACGTGAAAAGCTGATGGACAAAAACCAAAAAACAATAATAGGAAAAGTTCACTTCAAAATCGTTACGGAAGATACAGTAACAATGGAAATTATTCTCCTTGTTTTCATAGGATATACATTTTCTAAACGTTGACCATTCTTTTGAATAAGATAAGCTGTTGTTGTTGTTGTTGTTGACTCATGCATTGTCTTATCATGAAAAAATGAAACCGAAAGAAAAACACCATCCATTCCTGCAACGTGTTTATTTGTTTAGATATTCAGTAAAAGAGGCACATCATGTTTGAGATCGAACTTGATGAAGAAACGCATTCGCTTCGAGTTAAAGATGCTGAAATGATAATTGCTGAGGGATCTTTCGGGGTCGATCGTCCAGATCGAACGGTGCTGGTCCTTTTTAACAAAACAACAATCGTGCCAAACGACTATGATCAACTCGATAAACTTCTTTCGACGATTGATTTTCACCTAGGTAAGTCGAATAATTCCCGAGTGTTTACATGCTTTCCTATGTTTGACGGTCAAATCGACATTGATCAACTTCAAATCAAACATTCAAGTAAATGTTTAATGGTTACTAATATGACTCATGTGAAATATTATGACTTCGTGCAATTTGATCGAGAACAATATGAATTACGGACGAATAAGCAAATGATTCTGACTTATTCTGAGAAGATAGCCAATATGATGTGTGAAAATGCCTTCTGGGCAAAGAAATGGAATGATCAGAAAATTCAAGATAAAGTCAAATCAGCTTCTGGTGTTGTCATGGCTCTTGACAAAAAAAATAATAACCCATGTGGCTTCGGACGAATATTTATCGTGTCGACAACAGAAGAATATGAAGCAAAATTTGCTTATTTGACGGATATCGCCATAGCAAGTGAATATCAGAACAAGGGCCTTGGTTTTGCCTTAACAAACACTCTTCTAGGAATGTTTATCGATGGAAATTCAAAACAATGTGCTCATGGATCAATCTGTTTGTTTTGTTCCGATGAAGGTGTTGGAGCTATAGCTGCACCGAAACTCTATAGAAAGTCCGGTTTTGAGCTTTTTGACAAGACTGATAATCGTATGGCATTGATCCATACCGATCAATTTCATGGACATGCTTCCTCTTAATCGCCCTGAATACTTCAGCATAGTAGATTTTTTCTTTGAATAAAAAACGCGTCTCATGAAAAAGAAAATGCCGAAGAAACAATGCGATGCCTCACCTGAAAATTCTCTCACAAAGACTTCACGACGTCGCCTTGTTCGCACACGTGCACTCAAGGGAAGTATCTTATCAGCATCAAAGAAAGATAAAAGAAGTAACGTAGCACCTCAGACGAACCGTCGCTTAACATTCGAAATAAAACATGAAAGCCTCTCTTGCAGTATTGATCGGGCTGACGGTTTTAGAATGAACTACTCGGTAGATTCGTAACTCAAAATAAAGATAATGTAACACTTGGGAGTGTAGGTATGGGTGCGCGTTAAGCTGAGAGTAATAGCGACACCGACACCGATACCCGCACCGATACTCACACCAAGCCACACCCATACACCCATCTTTCACACTCACACCCACATCCACACCAACCCATACCCATCCGCACTCAAATCTACACGCACATTCACACCCAAATCAGAAATAAATCAAAAAGAATTTTTTGAAAATCAGTGGCTATAGTATCAACAAACTAATATTTAATGTTCAGCTAGGTCTCTGATCATTAACCGAGACTTTTTTCAAGATAAACGACGGGTCAAAATTCCTGTTTCATTTTCTATAATACATGTTTCTATATTGAAGAATGTGTTTGTAGAATTGTCTTTATACGGTACACGTGCAGTAAAATGTACTCTTCAAAATGACTATAAATTGATCCTTTGAGCTTGCTGAACAAGAAAGTTGTAAGTCTAGAAATGTCTGTTAGTTTGAAAAACAAATTAACCAATAATATTTGAAGCATTGACGAGAGAACGTAGTGGATTAAGTATGACTGGAGAAATCATTTCAAAATGGGAAGCTATTTTGAAATTATTTCAGCTCACTACTTGGCTGTACAATTGTAAAACAGCCAGTGATTAATAGAGAAACAAAATGGCGCAATGTTGACCTGTGATAGGGTGTGGATGTGGATGTAGGCTTGAGGGTGTGGATGAGAGCGAAGGGATAATCAACACTCACGCCAACACTACACCCACACCCACACCCTCGCTTATTCGATTTGGTTTCTGTCTCTGGTAGATATGCAAACATGTCTGAGGAGAATTAATTTTTTAACTGGAATTGAGTTCTTATAAATGTATAAAAGAGGAAGATATAAGCAAAGAACTTGGCCAATTTATATGTAATTCAATAGAAAGTATCAACAACTCGGAATAATTACAGAGAGAGAAAGAGAGGAATAAGAACGAAATAGAGTGACAATATCGAGAACATTTTTATTTTCGAAATTATTTAAAATCATTGTTTGAAGAAATAGTAGTATAAGTAACTGCAAGGCCATTTGATATATAAAAATCTAGTAAACGGCCTCTAGCTCCCGCAGTTGATATAAACTGATTAAAAGCACATTTTACACACTATAGTCAATGACAGTATTATTTGAAAAATTTTTTTGTCGGTCGATAAATTGAGATAAAAATGTGCAATGTAATTATAGATATAAATTCATGAGGAAAAAGTATGGAGTCTTAGCAATTTAATCCTCTCGAATGTTAATCAAATAATCATCGATAAACCTGAAAAGATATTATGGTACTTTATTTTATGATTTATTTTCTGATAATGTAGTATTTACTTTACCTTGAGACGACAAATGAAAATAAAGTGCTGCGATTATTTATAGCAGACATGACGAAAAACGAAATATATCAAGACGATAGATAAGAACCGTACAACATTTTGAAAGTTAAATGATAGAGTATATCTGTTTGAGTTAAAATATCTATTAATTTTAAAAAAAGACGATATTGAATTAAAAGATGTCGATATAATATAAAGTAAGAAATTTTTCCCTTCCATATTAATAGTAAATTGGTATCGTAATTATTCAATATTTTCATTTATCTCTTATCTACTTTTGCTATGATATATATTGTTGAATTCAGTCACTTTCTCTCATATTATTGTTCACTAATGCATTTTTGATGATTAAAATGAGACACTTTTGATTTCATTGATTTGGCTTTTAAATTTCTTTTATTCGAGATTTATTTCATATTATTAATTTATACCTACGGTAGATATTAAGTAATGCATTTTTTGTTCTACTTTTATATATCAATTATCTACTACAAATAATTACATAAATTGAATACACCATTGATATTCTACAATAGTAGGGTCATCTATTGATAGTAATTATATTAACTTATTTCTATTTTTAGATTAATTATAATGATGATTATCAGACTACACTTATTTGTCTCTTTGCAATTAATTTCATGTTTCTCGGTCGATACTAAACCTAAGCTAACATTGGATGAATTTTTCGATTATACGCTTTTTCCATTGATAAGTTTGTCACCGACTGATAAACATTTACTTATTCATACAAC